CCATGGCTGATCACTGAGCCGGACCGGAAGTACTTAGTAATTACTAGCTATCAGTAATTAGTACTTAGGACTAATTACTAGGTACTAATTACTAAGTACTTCCAGTCCACTTCTGGGTCTGCTGCTGAGAGTGCTAAGGGGGCCCCCATGCCTCCCTGGCTTGGCGATCAGCCTTGGGGGGACTCCGGGTGCCCCCCCAACCCAGGAGGCACCAGTTGCTGAGCCGGGGAGATGCAGGGCAGGGGGGACAGGGGGGAGAGCCCTGCGCACTCCCCGGTGGACCCAGAAGTGGACTGGAAGTGCTTCTGGTCCACTTCCAGGTCTGCTCCCGAGGGTGCTGGGGAGCCCCCTGCACTTCTGTGGGATGCTCCATCTGACCCACCATCACAGCATTCATGAACCCCCTGCTACCTAGAGGTATGTAGAAAAACCATTTAAAGTAGTCTCTATGTCCGAATCTCTCCGAATTGATTTGGAGGGTTCCGAATTGATTCAGAGAGATTAAAGGGTCTCCTGATTTGATTTGGATTCAGAGATTCAGCCACTGAATCGGGCCAAGTCTCTGCCGAATCGAATCAAGGACCGAAGCTTCGCACAGCCCTAGCCCTTAGCAACATCTTGGCAACTTGTGCTGATGTCAAGAATTTATGCAGTAAATGAAACCTGCCCATGATGGAGTTTTATTCAATGATATCCAAGAATAGAAAAAGCCCAACTCATGCTTTCTTAGCCTGGCACTACTAACAGGAGTATAAAAACTGTTGTAATTAGGAGCAGTTCTAACAGTTCTGACCCAGAAAGCAGAGGGCGGCCAAGTCTCAGGAAGAAAGGCCTAATTTTTCCACAGCTGCTTTGCAGAAATAGAAATTCACTTTAAAGGACATTTTCAGCTGGAAAATCATTATTTTTCAATTTGATTTGTAAATTTAAAAAGCTAATTGGAGGAAACATCTTTCAGGAGGATGAAGAAGTCTGAAAGAGAGTCCTTTGTGAAGTTAAATAAATGCAATGATTGTGGGCAAATGCCATAAAAGATTTATTTCACAGTCTTAATTCTGATCGCAAGTTAGAATCAGATTCTTCCTGACAAACAAACCTGGGTAGATATTTCAATAAAAGTGAATTTTAAAATGACTTTTCACCATTTTTGTGGTCCTTTGTCTGCCTTTGCATTTTATCCAGGGACGGCAACTGAAGATCAAGACAGCACAATAACAACTTATATTAGTTCAGGGACATTGCTGCAGCATGATGTACTGAATTTCAATTCAGTCACAGACAACTACATCCAAGTAGGCATTAGACTATTTTTAAACACTGAGGTCTTAATTTTATTTACTTTGTATTTCTTGAAGCATGTGACAAGCGTGAAAGGCATTAAATGTTCAGTGGTTTCACCAAGAAGCCTTTACCCTCCCCTCCCCACCCCACCTGACTTGACTTGCATATGCCTACATGTGGAAAAAAGGGAAAAAAGGAATTTAATTTCTATCAAAATCCATTAGCTGCACTAACAAGGTGACTCTGAGTTACACTTTATGATGCTTTCTTTTCATGACTGAAACATAACCAGTTTTAATCCAGGTTCTAAGGATATAAAACAGATTGGGCATGAAATAACCATTGTTTTCCAAGGTTTCCAATAGAAAACTGTAATTGGTTGAGCTTGATTCTATCTCTGCCTTTAAAAAAAATCATTGCGTCTTTTCCTCACTTATGAAGAATTAGATTCCAGCATTTTGAGACACATTCTGAAATTTATTTCTATTATTGCGAGTGTCCTTACTAAGAACAATTAATAGGGAGATGCTGTGTTTATCATAGAAACTGGTGTCTGTTACTTAGAGAAATGGACCATCAAATATTCACAGATCTTGGGAAAAAAATTCATTCTGTAAACACAAGATTCGCTCTAGACTCTAAGGTTTGCATGTATGACAGGACCTAAATCTGATCTTTCCTGAACTCCATTCACTTTCAAAAAACTTTGAAGTTATACACATATTCAGCCAAACTGGTGCCTCATGTAGGCAGGTACACTGAAGTCAAAGTTGGTCTCACTGGCACCAGATATGCCTTTCTGAGTTCTGCAGTACAATGACTGTCAATAGGCACGTGCAATTCCCACATGGTCCTGGATGACATTTTGTATCCAGAAATCAAATACTGGGAACAGAAAGCTGTAAATGGCACATGCAGTCACAAGAATTAATCTTTAAGGCTACAAGGGCCTGGGCTTTCTGTGTAGCATGTTTGGATGCCCTTTTACTGTTAGTTGGCACAAACTTCGCACATCAACACATGCATTCATGTGCCGTAATTATGGTGCATTAAGTTTAATACCTGTAATAACAGGTAATAACTTATTGCACCATTATCAGAATGACTGCACAATAGCGCCAGCACACATCTTTTAGGTGACGTTAATGCACAGTGGATTAATTCTACTGAGCAACTGTGCATGAGCATGGCTTTTGCTGCGATAAGCAAATGCATAGTAGAACTAGTCTACTGTGGTTCTAGTGTCTCATGTAGATGTGCCCATTGTGTGTGTAATTTCTCTGAAGTGTTTACACTGCTTCAGGGAGTAGAGGATGTATACCTCTCAGTTTGGAGCATAGATCTCACCTACTTAAGCTACAGGGCTAAGTTTGTTAGCTCAGGGCCAGTAAAGACTTAGGAACTACTATCAGTGGTCTAAGAAAGAAGAAAAACAAAAAAGCCACTCTAGGAAGAACTCTATTTCACTTTACACTCAAATGGCAGTTTTACAGCTGTGTAAGCAGTATTTTTTTTGGCACTTATGCCCAGTTTGCAATTCTATTACTGATGCATTATGGAGTTACTCATAGCTACTGAGTAGGCGCCATACTGGCTAGGCAGGTACACACAACTGGAATAAGTGAAAGTCATGGGATTGTACCTGGCAAAAAAATCCATGAGTAGCAGGTGTTAAATACATGTTAAATACAAATACCCATGTGGTTTGGCCCAACAGCTCAGTGCTTAGGGCATTCACCCTGGAAGTAGAAGACAGGTTCTAGACTCTTTCACCCAAAATGGATTTGAACCTATGCATGAATGATGCGTGCCCCTGGCAGCTGGGGGTGGGGGCACGGCGCTGGTGGGAGCACGGCGGCAGCAGTGGGAATGCGGCAGCAGTAAGCGGCAAGCTCCCGCTGGCGCTGCCCATGGCGGGGGTGGGGGTGGTGAGTGCTGACCAGCAGATGCCGCTGGCAGTGTTGGTGGTGGCCAGCGGGGATTGCTGATGGCCTGCAGACACTGCTGGCAGTGTTGGTGGCGGTGGGGGAAGAGGAGGGGGGTGTGGCAAGTGGCAAGCGCCTGCAGGCATCACTGACAGTATCAGCAGCACCTTTTCATAGGGGGTGCACTGCCACACTCAGGGGGTGCACGTGCACCCATGTGCACTCCCTACACATTGACAGTGAACCTATAGCTCTCTGACTTACCAACACAGGGTGTGTCTACATGAGAAGTTTACTGCAGAGCTGCCTAATTAGCTCTGCAGTAAAGTCTCTGTATCTACACATGCAACTCAATTAGGTCTCAGTAAACTAATAAATGCTGCCGTAGGTTAGTACTTGTAAATGCAAGTACTATCCTGTGGCGGTGTTATTTACTGCACAGCAAAACATGAGTAGACCCTGACAGGGCTGGCTAGGACATGAGGGTGCTTCAGTGTTGGGGCTGCCTGCTGGCTTGCCCTGCCCTGAAACATCCTTGTGCCCCAGCCAGCCTCTCTGCAGCACACTGTGCTGGGTTGGAACAGCTCTGAGCTGGCTGGCTGGCCCCCACAAATCCCCTGCCAGCTGGGGCTGCTCTAACCCGGTTCAACATGCTGCAGTCCCGGGCACACGTGTAATCATGACACGTGGGAGCAATAAACTCTCACATGATATGCACTGGAGTTTATTGCTTTGCATTAATTGCATGTGTAGATGCACCCTCAGAGCTCTAACCACTGCAGGTCCCCTGGGCAACCAAAAGAGGGAGTTATGTAGAGCCAGGAGAAAGAGACACTAAGTCAGCAGGTATGTGGTCCAGAGATGTTGTTTTAGAAGGCAGCAGACCATGGGCTCTGGCCTGGACTCTTGCATCCAATGAGGTAGATGCTTCCTTGATGGTCTCCATCCATTTTATCCAATGAATGCTAAATGCTAGGTGTAGTAACTCAGTTTCAAAAGAAGTGATGCAGAAAGGCCTAGCTAATGCCTGACTTAAGGCTTGGTGATTAGGGCACTGTGCTGGGAAATCAGAGCATGTTGGTTCATATCCCCCCCATTGGGGGGGTCTAGAAACTGGTCTCATGCTTTCTGGGTAAATATGTTTATTACTGAGCCACTAGCACTTATAATATAGGAGGCTTGTCCTCCTCTCTCCTGGGACTTATGATAAATTATGCTAATCTATAGCCTCCTGACCAGTCTGTAGTTGACTGTGCTTGTCCAGTAGCCATGTGGGCACTTATATGTCCACACTGCCTGTTTAAGAGAATATCCAATTATGCATAAGTTCCCAAAATGCTGGTTATATGGCTGCAAAACTGCATGTGAAGGGAAACATAATTCAGTCCTTTCCATCTGTGTAGGGCACACACTTAGACAGGAATTTTCACCCCTTAAAATACCACACAGCAAAAGGGTTGATGTACTGAATTTGAATTGGTTGCTGTAGCTGCCTCTTATGTAAAGGAGGGCCCTGGTGTTTCACTGAGAACTCCCTCAGGGGGTGTGCATGAGTGTGTGGGGAGGGAGGGGGGCGTGGATTTCACAAAAGCCCTAGTTGCTGGGCACCAGTATGACTACTGGTCTTGCTGCCTGAATCTAAACTGTGAGGGGACAAGGCCCATTATTTGTCGAAAGTACAAAAAAGTTGAAGGCAGATATATCTCACAAATTGCTTGCTCCTGAGGTGAATCAAGTGGGTCTCTATACAACATGACCTGTCCCCTCCGTATTTCTGGGAATTAGATGTCTTACCAATACAGCGTGATCCATCTGGGCTGGTCATGAAGCCCCGTGGACATGTGCACACATAGCTGCCTGCTGTGTTGGTGCACTCACCGCCATCACAAACGCTGGAGATAGTGCTACACTCATCCACATCTGGAAAAGAACAAATCAAAAGTGATTAATCTTTGGTGCAAACCATCTTTGCTCCTCAACTGCAGAGCAGATCCTGGGCCAAAGATAGCTGCTTCTAGGTTGCTACCATGTCCCTACTGGGGTCTGCATGAGCTGAAGCTTTTTTAGGATCCAGACATTGTCTCATTCTTCTTCTCACTGTTTTCCATGGGCCCTGAACCCACAGCTCCCAGCTGACACCAAAGCACAAGTGACATATGCTATGAGAAAGGCTGTTCTGGGGTGTCCTGGCTGAATGCCAATAGGAATCCCTGGGTCTCCCAACAGCAAAGCACTTCCTGCCAGGATCTCACACTTGGCTAGGCAGAGCAAGCAGGACTGGAAGCCCAAGAAGGACTGGAAGCCCAAGAAAATATATGATCTGCTTAGGGTGAGAATGGGAGCAGTAAAGGAAATAGGCTGGACTGCTTAGCCCTTCCAGTACAATCCTTACTTAAATGCCTATGGCTCTCAAGGACAGGTAATGCATGGTTCCCTGTAACAGGGCCCTCACCCTGTTACTAGGGAGACTGGGTGGTTTAGGGTCTGCTCTCACTGCTACCTTTCCTCCCATTATTCTTGTTACCTTCATTCTCCACCCTCACCCCAGCCGGTGCGGACATGGCCCTTCCTGTTTGTTTTCTCGGGTCAGCACTTCCTCCTTCCCTCCTTTCTTAATTCCCTGCCCCATCTCTCCCTCTACACACACATGCTCCTTCACTTTGCCTTTATCACACAGTCAGAGTTGGTGGGCTTCCCAGTGCTGCCGCAATTTGCACACAGGGTGAGGATGTGAAACAAGATGACCACTGAGTCCAGGTGCCGAAAGTGCCTGATGACCCAGCAAGTGGAAGTGAAGAGTCAGGCGACCCCGAGCCTGCTACATAAGCCCAAGCTTTCAGCACTGGCAACAGCAGTGATGGTAGCAGTGATCCCCACCACCTTGTGTGGTCCAGCCTGAACTGGAGCTCTGCTGTTCATGGCCTCTCAGGGAGCCAGCTGTTCTCTCTCCCTCCCTCCTATCTGCAAAGATCATTCGAGTAGTTTCTAGCAAAAGTCACCCAAAAATGTTAGCACTGGAAATTCCACAGGGCTAAACTGCTCAGGACTAGATTTCACAGAACTAGTCTGGAACCAGGGCTGCAGATTTGTGTACAGGTTTCCCTCGATTTTATGCGGTGCATGCATTCCTGGAGAACGGCGCATACATCAAATTTGCATAAAGTGAACCCAGGTTACAACAGAACAGATAGGGATACGTTCCCACTGTGATGAGGGAGGGAGGGAGGGAGTAAAGCTGGGATTAGGGAAGGGACAAGGAGAGGGGATGTGGCGCAGCCCGTCGGCAGCTCCCAGGGCTGCAGCAGGCAGCAAAGCGGTGGGAACTGTAAGTGGGCATGGGGCAGGGGGGCAGGGCTCTTGCTGCTATGTACCCCCTGGGAGGGTTGTGGGCTGTGTTGGGCTTTTCCTGGTGGGGGGCACGGACCCCTGGATCTCCACACAGGACGATAGAAGGCTGCCGCTGCAGGCTGGGACTGGCAGCGGCACTGGGCTATCACCAGTGCTCGGCGGGCAGGTTGGGGGGGCTATGGTGAATTTTGGGGTGGCAGCAGCCCCCCTCCCAGCACCGCCGCCTCATTCCTGCAAGCAAGGCTGGGGCTGGTGGTGGCACCAGGCTCTTCTCGGCACTCCAGGCAGGCAGCAGTGGCGCAGGGAGTGAGGCTGCTGCCACCCCAAAATTTGCCATGGCCCCCAACCTGCCTGCCGCTGGCCTGGTGGCGCCTCTGGCCCCAGCCTGCAGCAGCAGCTTGAGGTTGTCCCGCACAGAGATTTGGGGGCACATGCCCCCTGGAAACAGCCCAGCGCAGCCCCCCTGTCCTGCGCCCCCTCCCCCCCGCAAAGCCCTGCACCCATTCACAGTTCCTGCCGCCTTGCTGCAGCCTGGGGCCTCCACTTCTCCCTGCTCACCCCAGTCCCTGCAGGAACAGCCAACACCAGCTATCTGCAGCTGCTGGGCTGCACCATGCCCCGAACCTCCTAGGCTCTGCTTCTCCCCACTCACCCCAGCTGCTGTAGCAGACCTGGGAGAAGCAAACACCACCTGACTGCACCGTGGCATGGTGCAGCCCAAAGACGGGTGGGTGGGGAGAAGCAGAGCCCCGCTCGCATAAGAGTCAATTTACCTCGCACAAGGAATTTTGGGTAGAAAAGGGGTGATCGCATAAGACCGAATTCGCATATATGGAACTGCATAAATTGAGGGAAACCTCTATCTATTCAGTTGAAATCTATGTTTCAGAAGCAGAGCTGGAATTTGAATCCAACCTACAATGAACACATCCAGAGTGGTTTACTGCTGGCCGGACTCCAGGTGCTGGTTGAAAGCAAAGAGAATGTTTGTCAAAGTGCTTTGACAGTAGCCAAATTTTCATGATTTGGCAACCAGCAAAATAAGTGATCTCTCTTAAGCAGCTTTATTTATTGTACTTTAAAACTATCAAGCTTTTGTGAATGGATGAAGGGGTTTTATATGCAATTTAGATGCTTACTTGGACTGGCAGGAGGTTAATGAAAAAGAACTGGGAAAATTCTGCTCTTTCAGGAGGACTTTTCTTATGTGAACAACCTCAAACTAGACAGGCACATAGCTCAGAGGCATCAGCACAGACCGAGACAAGATTCAATGTAGGACAAGAGAACGTCTATTAAATCCCAACAAAAGTGGCAAAAGCCAATGAGCTAAGGCAGTGGTGCTGAAGCTTTTTGCCTGGCAAGCCAGATGGGTGGTGCCTGGTCTGTTTGTGGGCCAGATCTAGCTGGTGGTGCCAATCTGGCACCCAGAGTAGGCATGGCAGGGCCCTATTTAGCCATGCAGAGGGAGGCTGGGGGCAGCCTAGCCCCAGTCCAGCCATGCAGGGGAAGGAGGCTTGGCCTGGCCCCAACCCAGTCCCAGAGGAGTAGGGGTCATGACCCTCCACAATACAGCTGCAGATGGGGGGGGGGGGGGGAGGGGGGGGGGGGAGAAGGAGGGGGAAGAAGGGGGCCTGGCCTAGCTATGATCCAGCCATGCAGGGCTTGGGAATTTGGCAGTAGGGAAGGGTGACAGTATTAAATACTACTGCTCCCCTGCCACCAAATTTCCTGCCCTTAGGGGAGTCCCTGAGGATGGATGCCATGGCTGTACAGATTTGGCCCATGGGCTGGAAGCTGAGCACCCCTGAGCTAGGAGGATACTGCCAATGCTGTACAGATATGGAAGATCAGCTGTGTTACTATAAAACACTGATGCTTTAGTGATGGAAGACAACATTCGCACAACTGGAAAAGGGCCAGAAGGAGGATCCTCCTGTAGGGATCAGTCAACCTTTACCAGTCAACCGGTAGCAAGGAGTACAAATCTGTTCTAGGTATCTGAAGACCTCAGGTCCCATTTATGCTGACTGACACACATAGGAAGGGATTTCATTTTGAACGAAAAGAATGAATGCTATAATTACAGGATGGGGGAACTGTATCTGTAAATGGGTTATCCTGAAGAAACTTCTGAAGCCATGGAAAAAGCCATCTGACTGTGGTCTCACAGTGCCCTGCAGTGGCTAACAAAGCTAATGCAATTCTTAGGATGTAAAACAGAGAAATATCAAGTATGGGAAAGAAGGTGGTGTTTCCTCTTCTAGGTCACTACTGGGTACTGAATCCCATCCTGGTGCCAACTCTTCTGAAACAATATTGAGAAATGGGCTGAATTCAGAGCAGAGCTACAAAAAAGATTCTTGCTTTCCAATGAGAGACTTAAGGAGCTCAGTCTATCTGGCTCAGACAAGAGAAGGTTAAAAAGTAATTTGCAGGTTAAGAAGTAATTTGATTAGGGTCTACAAGGAGAGATGATTTCTCAGAGTAGAGATCTCTAGTATCTATCAGGGAAAGATATAATAAAAGTCAATGGCTGGAAGCTGAGGCAAGATAAACCCAGATTGTAAAAAAAAAATGTTAATTTTTATAGTGATGATAACAAATAATGGGAACCATTATTACCCTGCTTTATAATAAGTGTGGTCACTATAACAGAGCAGTCTGTTCCTTTAAGAGGGAACAGACGGCTCTGTTGAGAGAGCCCAGCTGAGGGGTATTTGGATAGGCAGGGAATGTCTTGAGAAGGGAGTCTCCCACTAGGAGCTCTGAAAAGCTCTCAGAAGAATAAGGCAGGAGGAAACAAGTTGTGTGCAGAACAGCTTGTTACAAGGAGGGTCAGGCTGCTGTGCTGAGGTCAGAGTCAAAGGTCTCCCCTCCTAATGCCTGGGACAGAGCAGAAAGATTTGTTTTGTTTGGCAAGCTTCTTTGGGTAGATGTGAAATCTTTTATTAGACCAACTGAGTAGTTGGAAAAAAGTTCTTTGCAAGCTTTTTATGCACAAGCATCTAAATATTGTGTTTTATTTTGGGGGGACTGACTGAGGAGCTTTTCAGGGAGCAAAACCTGCCTGCAGAAGCCAGCAGGGTAGGAAACCTGCTTACAGTTGCCCAGATGTGTTGGTGCCAGAAAATCTAATGGAAAATACTGTAGAGCCTCAGCATTGTTCCCCAGGGACCCTTTTCTTTCCACTATATTATTTCCAAATTCCTCACTCCCTCTCTGTAGAACAGGGACAACATTTGAAGTAGTGTTGACTTAAGATTCTCCCAAGCCAGGACAACTCCAAAGGCTTGGAGAGTGCAGAGCCTTTCACATGTGCTGTGAGACATCCTCAGACCTAGAATTTCTGGTTCATGGCTTAGAAATGAACCCACTTTAATTCAACTTTTCCTCAGGAATGAATCCTGGGTCCTGTGCTGTGTTCTGCCACTGTGAGGAAGCATGAACATGCCCTGGTCTCCACTCAATGGTTCCCACTGCTTGGGAAGAGACTGCCCTAGGGTGCACATGGCACTCATTTCCTGCAGCACACCTTGTTCAAACTCTTGAAAACAAGAAAAACTCTTTGC